TATAAACGCGAAAATATAGTTTGTAAGTATGGACGTTTTTTATTCTTTCACGCAAAAACTACTGAACGGATTTTAATGAAACTTTACAGTAATATAGCTTATGCATCAGAATAACATAGCCTATATTTTATATTGAAATTTAACGCAGATGAAACCGCAGTCAGTACATATACATACATGTATATATACGCGCGGATGGTAACAGATAATTAAATAGATTAAAACACATGCATGCAGTGAACAATACCCGAGGTTGTTGTGAATGGTCACTTCCTAATTCACATTCCAGGGTTCGCTGATGACTCAGCATTTGATTGATATGTCTAGTTGTGAAATAGTTTTAGTTATACACAGAATATAGACTGCCCCGCTCAACTGCTCCTATACCTATCTGTCAACCAAAGAATGGAGAAATTGAACAAGGGACCATAAATAAAGAATAAATAATAATAATAATAATAATAATCTCAGGACAATTCACACAGCGCCATCTAGACCCAAGTTAAGCTAGCTAAAGCTTCTGTTATGGGTCCTAGACAACTGATACAAATATATAGATAATTTTTTTTGTGAAGCTGTAAAGGCCAGCTACGGCCAACAGCATTAGAGTAGTCCGAAAAAAAAAGCCTAACTAACCACCACGCATGACTTACACTTATGGAATAAACACCCTATTTGTCAATTGTTAGATACGGCATCTAATTTATTTTAAAAAGCCATATGTGGCCAAGGACTCGATATGGCAGTTCACAGGCCATTTCTGTACTATCAGTGTTGCCAACTAATATAAAACATTTTTGATCGTAATGAAACAGTAGACAAGGTGAAAAGGAATTGTTAGTAATGTGGATTGATGATTTTATTGCTAGCAATGTACCACGTCAGGTTGACCTCAAAGGTACCCCCTTGAAACCATCGTGAAAATTCACCATGAATTTACCACGATAAGCTATCTGACCTGACCTCATACTTATCATCCTCCACTGGTGCCCCGCCAGCGTAAACCGTTAGCGTAGTGGTGCACCATTCCATTACCAACCATAAAAAAACTATCTATTAAAAAACCGTTTCAAAATCCGTTGCGTAGTTTTAAAGATATAAGCATATATAGGGACAGACAGCGACAGCGACTTTATTTTATACTATGTAATGATGAATTAGCATTGAAAAGTGCAACTCTAAATTTCCGTATAAAGTATGAACTCTAATTTTTTAATATCGATTTTGATTTATATGGCAAAAGAACTTTTGCGGGGTCAGCAAGTATAATAAATAAATAAACATTACTATTATCAAATGACAGAAAAAGGTATATATTTCTTATACCATATCTCCTGCCATTCATTATCGTATTATCGTATTTTTATTAGAATTAGGATATACATTAGTGTTGTTTATGATAATTTGATAATCATTTTAATATATTTATAACAGTATTAAACTATTAAATACTTACAGATAGTCGATTGTGCCAGTACATCGACAATTTCGATTGTAAAGATATATCCCGTATGGTCTAGTGGCTAGGATACCTGGCTTTCACCCAGGAGGCTCGGGTTCGATTCCCGGTACGGGAAAATTTTTTGGTACCATCTTTTTGTAAGAAAAAAAAACGTTTGGAAAAATTCATCTGTTATAAACCATACTTAACAATAGCAATTGATGTCAATACCTCGACAATTTCGAATATAAAAATATATCCCGTATGGTCTAGTGGCTAGGATACCTGGCTTTCACCCAGGAGGCTCGGGTTCGATTCCCGGTACGGGAATGAATTTTTGTTACATTTTTTTTATAAATATTAATAATTTAACTGAAAAGATGGCAACACCGTGCACTATTAATGTTACTAAGTTGTATAAACAAAACGAAACAATATTCAGAGCCGCTAAACACATGTGTAACCGTTTAGCGTTGAGTGAACAATTTACAATTTCAATGAATGGGCTTGTCAGTTTTAAACGAGTTGTGGTTTAGCAGTTAAACTACCGCTTCATCCACCAACGGTCGCTGGTTCGATCCGTCAGTTTCAGTGCTTAGTGGTGCGCGGTTAAACACAATAGTCTCGCTATTAATGTTCGCTGTTTTGATCCTACACAATATAAAAGGTTTTTATGAGCGTCCGATTTTTTTTACCACCGCAAACAAGCATACGGCACAGCTGAAGGTAAACGGTTACCGTAGCCTATGGACGCTTGAAATGTATACGTTACCGATCCTTAATATACCCTTCTTTGAAAAACCCCATGATGTTGTATCGTGAGAAAATATTCATCTATGCATATAAATAAAATTAGAGTGTCTGTTTGTAATATTGAAATAATCGTTTTTTACTACATGCATATGAATATAAATGCGGTACATACACCAAAATAATATTTTTTACAATTTTTATCTGTCTGTCTGTTTGGTCCGGCAAACTCTCAAATGGGTTGACCGATTTACGGGACTTTCATTGGCAGGTAGCTGTAATATGGATGTAATAAGGAGTAACTTAGGCTACTTTTATTTTAGAAAAAATTTTTTAATTTAGACAAATAAATGAAATAACAAAATTTATATACTGCAACGGTTAAAATTGATTTTAATTGTTACAAATAAACGCGTTGCCGTTTACAAAACGCTACCGCCTTCCACTTGGGCTGATGTGACATAAACAAATCAATTATCTATATATCTCTCTATCTAATTAAACTTTTGTTCTTTGCGGGGGTTCTTTGTTTCTTTTTTTTGAAAAAAAATGACAATTATGTAATAAATAAAATTAATTTCTGATGCACGAAATAGAAGCAGAAATATGTTATTATAATTATTATTAAAATAAACTTATTTAGGTAAGTATTTTGTATAATTTGTTAATAATTAAATTTATTTTCTTCTACCACTCCTATACCTACACAAAAACGAGCATCGAACTTGCGTATAGCTCTTTACAATAAATGTTATTCAACAATAAATTTTCAGTTCTTCAGAAATCGCTGCCGCCTGTCACTTAGGTCGTGTGACCTTAACGAGGTGACGAGGTGGCGTTAAAACTTTTGTTCTTGGCGGGGCTACTTAGAAACGGGTCTTACTTGAAACGCTGCATTGTGAAAGCTAATGTGTCTATTTGTATTGAAGCCTACAGAGCATACAGCTAACATGGCATCATACTGTATTTACATGTATTTGTATATACAGTATGATGCCATGTTGGTTGGTTTGTGAATTGCTGTACCCGTGGTTTCACCTGCATTAATTTCAATATAAAATATAGCCTGTGTTATTCTGATGTATAAGGAATATTACTGGTACAGGTATAATACTTATTTATTAAAATTTTATCAAAATCCGTTCAGTAGTTTTTGCATGAAAGAGTAACAAACATACTCACAACTAACAATAACAATTCCTAAACTCATTGTAAAGAAGTTTAGAGTTAAGAAAGCTATAGTATTAATATTTTTGCAAAACATCTCTACATATAACAAAATCGTGACGACGGAACAACTGTCTGTTTGTCCATTTACTATTGGCGAAGATTATTAATTGGTATAGGACAATTTGATATGACAAGTAACATGTAAAATTACACCGTTAATCTTCCTAAAATAAATAAAAAAATATATATATATGACCAGTTAAACAGAGAAATTAGAATAAAATTACAGAATATGTTATTATTAATAATGCATCAATATATAGACTAAAGAAAACTAACAAAAAAAAAACTAAAAAATACCCCCAAAGCGACAAAATAATTAATTTTTTACAATTGTGTAAATTAGTTAACTAACAAACTCATAGATGGCGCTATATGGACGCTTTTTCTATTATAGGCGTTTGGTTTGTCACAAATACATATAGACGAAGTCTCGGGAATTACTAGTCAAAAATAAGATAATATAGACGTCGCCAAATTTTGGTACGAACAGTCATAAACACATCGTAGCCCGGCTGGATATGTCATGTCAACAAAGTTATTTGCGCAAGCGCATAATAATATTATAGATCACTCCTGTACAGCAAAACAGGTTTAAAATAGTGTTGGTACATTACATAAAAATAGTGTTGTGATATATTCCATCAACAAGTTCATTTTAAGCAGGTGTAATACATAGCTTGCGTTACCGGGTATTCTCACATCGGTTGCTTAACTTTCTGCCATTATATATATGTATATACTATCTGACCCCTATTTTTTATTTAAGTATAACAAAATCAATACAAATAGATATACAACTAAGAGAACACAAACATATTTTTAGCGTTACACAGACAAAAGTCTTTTTAAACATATAAGCTGACCCCTATTACTCGACTTTTATCACTATATTTCGGCCTATTTACAAAAAAAAAATTAAATTATAGCCTATATGTTATACTGATATATAAGCTATATTGCTGTAAAGTTACATCAAAACCCGTTCTGTAGTTTTTCCGTGAAAGAGTAACAAACATCCATCCATACTCTCAAACATCGCGTTTATAATATATATATGTAAATTAGAAAGTACATTTTTAATTTGATTTTGTGTTTAATTAACTAATTGGCCTTTCATACAATAATTTCAAGTTGAACTCCAAGCTTTTTAAAACTAAGTAGATTTTAATGTAACTAGCATACTTCAATAACTGTAGTCCTAACTTATAGTTCTATATTCCTAAGTTTTCTATCTATATTTTTAAGAGAATAGTGACTCCTTTGCTATCAATTAACCAAGTAAGGTCCACCTCCACGCAGTCTCCTTGGAAACCAAAGTCTAATTCCTAGTATATTCGTCACGATATGCTAATTGACCTGGCCTCATTCTCATCTTGCCATACTTTACTACCCCGCTAGCGTATACCGATAGTGCAAGTAGATGCACTATACCATTATCATAACGAAAAAAATCTATATTCTTAACTTTGATTTTTCACGAGATTATAATTAGCTAAGGTCTAAATAAATTCCAGGTTAATCAAAGCAGCAATTCCTTCAAAACCATGCGTGTTAGTCAACTTTCAACGGCACTAACTATCTTGGAGTGTCCACGAGTTCAGCGCCGTGTGAGTGCTCACGCTCCACGCTGGCACCCCAAAATGTTCTTTCAAACAGGAACTGTTGCTGCTCTTCAACGTTTCCAGCAGCATTTTCGTCGTCTTCCCAACGTTCTCGTTCCTTTTGAGGAACGCTACGATGTCCACGCCGCACGTTTCGTTTACGGACTTCCTGCACTCGGCGGCGTCGTGGGGTGACAGCTTCCCGTCTTTGGATATCACTGAGCTGCATACCTCGTTGATGAGTTCCAGGACGGCCATGTGGGCCTCGAATATCACGTCACAGCATCCTGTTGGGGAACTACATTGATCGGTATTGGATGATTGTAAAGGTGTTTTCATGTGCAAATGGTGTAAAGTTATGGAATTTGGTTAAACTCCAAAAACGTAAGTTACAATTCCAGTAAGTTTTGTAAGTACTTAAAAGTAAAGGTAGAGAACGAATGAAGAGAAGTGAAGATAATAATGTGATGTATTAGAAACGTAAGGAAATTGTACTACTGGCGTTGTTCTAAAAGTAATACGAGTTATGGTTTCTTTTTGGCAAAATATATAAGGTATTTTTTATGTTAATATTATCGTAGAATTTTGTATAGTTCTATTGACTATTGGTTTAACAGAATTTGAAATAATTCAATAAACCGTTGTATATACGTAAATAGCGATTTGGTTTACTAGTACCCTTAGGACCCCATGTGGTTGTAGCCCACTCATAAACGAAATATCTTCTTTGGAAGTAAAAAGCGGAAGTGATTGAAGGAGAGAAAAACCATCGCTCCTAAGAACCTCCTTCAATTGTTGTCTCTGACGGGCCTAGGCAGCGAACTCTAAAAAATGAGCGAACACAATAGATTTGTGCAAGTCTCAGTGCTACAGATCTCTTTAGCACCAAGAAAGAGTGCAAAACTTTTAATAAAAAAAATAATTGAAAATTAAGATACTGAATATCAGTAAAAGGAGAGGTAGGTATGACTGCTGAGAGGCCAATTGAAGAGGCAAATAAACTATTGCTGGAAAACATACACACTAGTGTTTTAATTAAAGGCAAAACTAAGTTTTGGTTGGGTCCTTTCAACAAAGAACGCAGGGTTTTTGAGGGTGACGCAGTGAATCGTGTCATAACGCGTATTCAAGGCGTTTGTGGCCCAAGTCGTCACCAACATGCTGACCACCTTCATGAAGGAGGACTACTGGCCGAAGGGAGTGGTGTATCTGCGCTACCGTGGCCGATTGCCGTCTTAAGTGCCGTGATCACACAGACAATTTATATATATATATACTTTATATTAATTTTAATATCATTCATATGTATTTTAGTCTGTAAAGGCCATTAGTAGTCTGAATTACATAAATAAATAAATAAAGACTCCTGCTAGTCTGTTATAATAACCAAATATGATTATTGTTCCATTCTCTACATGGATATGCATGGAAACACTAATGAATTGCAATGTAATAAATTTTAGTACATTTCTAATACACTTTACAATCTCCGTAAAGCATTGTCTCTGAAGCAACTAAATTGGCTACATAATAACATTGGATATAGATTTGGAAGATTTCCAGCCAAAGTAGGGTGAGATAATATATCAATTTAAGATTAAGAACTTCACTTGTAAAGTATATGGTACCACAGAGGATGTATATCATTTGCTGATGGAGTGTGTCAGGAAAGAGAGTAGGTATACGACGTAGAATAACGTCAGACCATAAAACAAATATATTCGATGTTGGTGTGAAAGTGTTTTAGCCGATCCTTCAGATACTGTAGAGCAGGACATTGTCGACTATATACGGACCAGGAGTAAGCTGATATTGATGGTGACGGAACTTAAATCGAGTTATAAAGCGAGTTTCAAGGCAAACATGCTGACCACCTTCATGAAGGAGGACTACTGGCCGAAGGGGGTGGTGTATCGGCGCTAACGTGGCAGATTACCGTCGTCCGTGCCGTGGCCACAAAGAGAATTTCAATATAGTAGTATGATATTTACCCACATGTCTATAAGGTATTTATAATATGGACCCAGTAGCCTGAACTAAATAAATAAAGGAATGCTCACTGGTGAAATGAAGTAGTTATTAATTTTAGGGTACAAAGGGACTGCCATGTAGTTTTAGTTTGTACAAAAGACTATTACAAAATAATATTTGTAACTATGGTACTATTTGATAGTATAATACCCTGAACTAGGAGCACTGATGACTATTCTACGGAACCAAGTTTGAGAATCCCATGAATTATGAGCTTGGAATGAAGAATGACAGAGATATAGGTGGTGATTACAACTTACCATCAGGTGGGTAATCAGTTTGTCTACCATTTCAGTTATATATAAAAAAGATTGCCAAATTTTTATGCTTTTTCATAAGCAAATGTAATGATATTGTCATAGACACTTGATAAAATATTTAACAAAATTTACTAGTTACATTATTAAAGAAAGTTATCAGAATATAATATACAGCACCCGAATGAAATTGTCAAGTCTTACTGAGCTAATTGAAATAAGCCACAGTTACAAAATTACACTGTGTCTCTCAAACCATGTTGGCAAAATCACCGATCAAAATTGGTGGCAGCTATTTAAAATAAAGAAGAAGTTGTCAGAAATACAATCAAACAAGTTAATAAACTATTATGGATATAAAAAAATGGATTCATAATTTTATTTATATATTACTAGCAGACCCGGCCAAGTGTTGCTGTGGCTAAGGTTCTTGAATAAAATACTATAAATTGAGATGTAAGCTATCCTATCTTTAAAGCTGGATCAAATTGCACACAATGTAGAAATCAAATTTGCAATCGGTCCAGTAGTTTAGGAGTCCATCATGAAGGAATAATTTGACACATAATTTTTATATATAAAGATGTATTTATATATATATTTTGCCCATGTAAATACATATGTAAAGAATATAACACACTTTAAAATTATGTACAACATCCAGTTGGCAGTGTTCACTGATTGCTATTTGAGTGTGAAAACATCAATTTGAGTCGACATTGGTATATGATTTAGGTTTGAATTCCAGCAACGACAATAATATTTATTATGAAATATGTGTGTATTCACATGCTTAATAATATCACTGCAGTAATTAATAAATTACAAGTACTGGAAAATGGAGTTTTAGATGTTAATTTTAATGTTTAGTGTAATTGTGTAGTCAGGTAATAAACCAATTATTTTTATTGAAATGGTAACATATATAAGAATTCTGCCAATATATAACAGTAATGAACCTACCAAGAAACCATGAAGGGTAGAAACAAGAGAAACATTCTACATGTAGTTCAATTAAGGAAGGTTTGATTTACATAAAAATATAGTCATAATTTTAAAATTACAATATTAATATCTGAGAACAATTCACAGAGCACCATCTAGTCTCAAGTTAAGGCAAACCTTGTGTTATGGCACTAGACAACTGATATAAATACATAGATACATTTTACATACATACTATAAACACAGAAAACACCAAGAGCAATACAAACAATCATACTAATGAATAAATTTTTGTATAGTGCGAAGAATTGAACCTGTAAACAGTGTGCTAAATCTCTAGACCACTGAAGCCTTCAAATATTGTCATATACTCATAATTTAACCTAATGCCATACAAAACCATTCACCATTTTTCTACTTGATAATACATTATTTATTGATTGTACATTTTTATCAAAGCAATTCATTAAAATTGTATTTTCCTATTAATGATTATTTACTAATCAACTTGTGTTAATAATATCTAACATTAAAAATATGATTACTTAAGTAATAATTTCATTACTAGTAAAATTATAAAATAATTTTTATTTCTCTAAAAACATTGCATATGGATCTGTGTAATGTTTGCGTCTAAAAACATTGCACAGGGATCAGTGTAATGTTTGTGTTTAGAGAAATAAACAATATTTTATAATTTTACTAGTAATGAAATTCTAACAATATTAGGCTGGAAATTCAACACATGAATAAAAGAATATGTATTTTATTGTTTTTTCTGTAAATAATGGAACATATTTTATGTGTTTTGTGAATCTAATATTTGATTAATTTATTGCAAAATGAAATTTTATATGAAAATTACCATAGAAATGTATTTTTTCTTTTTTAATGAGTATCTATTAAATGTTAAATTAGTACTAGTAGTACATTTCAGTAGTAATTAGTAGTACATTTACAGGTATATATATTGCCTGTGGATGTACATATAATTGCTATCAATTTTATACAATTATATCCGTTTTAAATAATGTTAAGTACTTAAGGTATTAAAATTAAACTGTTTTACCTTGAAACATAACTAGTTACTAATTAAACGCTGCAGACCAAATATTTATAGTAAATATTGATAGACTACATAATTTTTTATATAGATGGATATTAGTTTGTTAAAGCCTGACTTTTGGTGCTTTTAACTGCTGCATGGTCCCTAGTGCTCTTATAATATGTCAGAATAAATGATATTATATAATGCACATGAATAAATAAAAAAAATTAACACATAATTGGTTTGAAGGCAACAAGCAATATTTGAATATTGTTCTGTAACTCGCCATAAAAAAACTTCGTCTAAACTGTCATTTACACTTGGGTGTGAAACAAGTTTCCAGAAGGATAAGTAATGTTTTATTTATATTTGACTTTTCTAGAAACCTTCGTATGCGAGATACGTATTTGTATACATTTTTAGGTGAAGGTGTCCAGTTTTCCAATAGTAGAGTCAACAATAAGAAAATTATGCAATCATGTTTATATTTTAATTTCATACGCGAGTACCGCGGCTTGAATGGTCTTGTAAACATATAGCCCAAAGTCAACAACTGGTCCAGTCTATTTGTACAGCAATATCTCGCTCTTGCGAATTGCAAATACACCTACGTAACTGTTTACGTTGAAATCCAATCGTTAATACATAGCATTGCAATGGAAATCACGACAACTGGCGGCTAAAATGGTCGTCAATTACAACTTACACCCGTAAGTAGCGTATAATTAGATTAAAAACATCATAAGGCGCCCGCCCGACGGAACAGCGGCCGCCGCGACCAGCGCTATTGACATTGAGTTTGTGTTAAAAATACCAACTTTACCTGCCTCCCGGTCGAACTTGTTCGGCTTTAACTGGTCCTGCGTGTGGCCCAAGATCAACGGAGACAGTATCCTGGGCCACAACACTGCGAAACATCCCACAACAATCACTAGTACGAACATTGTCTTTCGTGGACCTAACACCTCCTCGTTCGCCATTCTGCAGTCGTGTTTTTCGTATCGTTTCGTCACTCACGTAAACAGGCAGTCGCACTCTACGGGTACATCGTCGTGTGTGATATAAATAAAGATTTTCATCCCTCCCACGTCCGACCATGAAAAGAAAAGCGCGAAAATGACAGCTGTCAAACGCGATCTCCCGGCACGGCGCTGCGTTCGCTACGGGAGCGATCCGGCTGTCTCTATCTTTACGGGAGCATCCGCGCATCTTCAAATTGTCTCGTAGCGCAGAAAGCCGGTGGATTGAGCTGGCTCGAAGTGACACAGCCGTATACGAAGTCAAACAGCTATGCCGACTTCTTGCCTCCCCAGCCACCGGCTCGGCTTGCAACGGTGAAATCGGCGGAGCGGTAAATGCAGTTCAAATATTGACAGAGCGTATTAAAGTTTGGCGGGCGAGCGTACGGCACTCGCTGGTCACAACTCGGTACATTATGCCTGGGCGCGGAGGCGGCGTCGGCTATTAACCCGTCCCCACCGCGAAGAGAACTACACGCGCTCAGATGAATACTAATTAGACAGTTTTGTGAGTACCTAGTGGTCGTAGGCGAGAACCATCGACGAAATGTGCATCCTTATAGGAATCTAATGTTTTTTCCACACATAATATCTCTTGAAGAGGAGTCTATTGCGAAAGAGTTAACCCTTTATTACTGCGCGACTTTATTACCAACATTGACCCAATGGCGCGACTGATCACCAGTTTACGAGGAATCCTAAGTACAATGTTTAAAACTGGAATTATGCATACATATTACATATTGTTTAAATATTCAACACTAGCTGTTACCTGTGCCTTCGTCTGTATGGAATTGAATTTTTTTCGTAAAAGAAATAATATTTCGATAATGAAAATAAGTTTTCTATAATAAGTTACTCCTTATAACATTAGCTATCTGCGAGACAAGTCCCGTCAACATCCGTCCAGACGTTTCTGATATTATCAAGAACAAACAGACAAAAAATTGTAAAATTTGATTTGATTTAAGAATTATATATACATACATAATATTACTGGAAAGTTGTTAATTTAAAATTACAGACAGACACCTCAATTTTATTTAACGGTATAGATATAACATTTATAAATTTAAATCAATGAGTCAAACATAAATTGTGCAATTTCATTAAGGAAATTAAGCGTGATAATTGAATAAGTAGATATTTGTAGATATAGTTTGCATTATTTGTTTCTAAACCTACATATTAATCTGTACCATGATTTATTTAGGCTAATGACAAAGAGATTGTAAACGAATAATCATATAGAAAACAGCAATGGAAATACCAACAACATACCGATTACCTATTCCTAAAATTTACTAATCATTCATATGAACATCGAATCATTAACATTTTTCTATTTATTTATTTGCACAACACGGAAAAACCGATTTGTAGGAACTGTAGAAATTAGTACATAATTAAAACAAAATAAAAAAAGTAATGGAGTGTGTAAGGAATCAGGAACGAGAGTCTATGGCTTATAATAACGTCAGACCATAGAATAAATATTGTTGAAAATCGATGTTGTGCGATCTCTTAATTATATATTGATGGCGAGATTAATTACTAAAATGATACTACATATTCAATTTTCAACATATATTTCTATTGTAATTTTTTAACATTTTTATTTATTATTCCATTCAAATTAATGTAGGCTGCCAGTACTTGTCAATCTGCAACAAATATTGGTTGTTGGTGACATGCAAACTGTTTTAGCAGATCCTTCACACACTGCGGCTAAGGCAATTTGTTTACTGGTGAGGTAATGCAGTAATTAGTTTTAGGGTACAATGGGACTTGCATGTACTTTTAGATTGTACAAAAATCCCTAAAAGTAATTAGAAATAAAACAAATATGAAGAAAAATTCTTAGGAATTCACATACAGGGTAATAATAATAATTAATAAAAAAAGAACTTAAGATTTTTTTTTTATTTATCTGTCATGCTGCAATCTTCCATGTTGACTATATAGGAAGATATAAGAGATACCGTATTTTTTATGGATGATAATGGAATGATGCACTCGCCTCTAACGGTTTACCAGGCAGGGCACGAGTGGAGGATGATAAGATAAGCATGAATTGAGGGCAGTTAGCCCATCTTGGCAAATGGCAATTAACCACGAAGATTTTCAGGGGAGCCGCGTGGATGTTAACTTAACATGGTACATTGCTACCAACGGGGTTGTTAAGGGGAAAGGGATAATTAGTAGCTAGCCCAGGCTTCGCCTGCGTATACATTTCTTATACATATAAACCTTCCTCTAGAATCACTCCATCTATTTAAAAAAACCACTTCAAAATCCGTTGAGTAGTTTTAAAGATTTAAGCATACATAGGGACGGACAGAAAGCGACCGCGACTTTGTTTTATACTATGGAATGATGTGAAGAAATAACCCCATTGCTAACAATGTACCATGTCAGCTTGACGTAAACGCGGTTCCCCTTGGAAACGTGACGTAAACCTTCATGTTGTATGTGCGCGCTAAACTCAGAAACGGCTTTACTGATTTGGGTGCAGTTGTCACTGCATTATGGGAGCTACATGTAAAACTGTGCTGTTATTACTGCTTGGTATATTATTCCAATTGGTTCACAAACAAAAAGTCGAAGTCGCAGGTCAGAACTAGTCTATTAGTATAAAACAAAATATCTTTTTACGTGAATCCCAAACAAATAACAATATCATTTCTCCCGCGGTTGAGTAGTAAACGGAAAGGATACATTGCATTAGGGAGAGGAAATCTGGATGATGTTGTTAAACAATGCACTATCTTTTGTATAGCACAGGATCGGACTGAGTCAAGGTGGCTTTAGCCAGCCGGGCCCCAGCCCTCCCAGTCCCGCCATGTCATTTTTATGGATGACTAATTGTATCCGCGGTTTCTTATAGCCTATATGTTATTCTGATGTATAAGCTATATTACTGTAACGTGTCATGAAAATCCGTGAAGTAATTTTTGCGTGAAAGAGTAACAAACATCTATCCATACTCACAATGTATCACGTTTATTATATTAATAAGATAATGGAATGAACGCGCTAACAGATTACAGCGGCCACCAATGGAGGATGTTAAGATGAACATGAGGTCAGGTCTGTAAGCCCATCATGACACATTCATTAGGAATTCGTCACGATGGTTTCCAGGGAGAACCGCATGGAGGTCAATCTGACATGGTACAGTACTAGCAATGTACTATGTCAAACCAGTCAACATTATTAAAAACATCGACAGTTAACAATGTCTCTAACTAATCCACGGATACGACTTTAGTCTGAGAGCACTGCTAGGGGGCCCCGAGATCGTAGGGAGCCACGCGGGCCCTTCCAGGCTAGTCCGTCCCTGTACTGTACAGGTGCAACTGTTATCTACAGTAAATATTTAGAACTTTAAAGTATTTAACTACATATTATGTCCGGACTATGATATTTTATGGTCTTCCTCGACGTTGAGAAGATAAACTGAGGTAGTTTGTAACCTTCCACATTAGTGGATGCAGTCTTAATCACGGTGTTCTACAGAATCTATGGATAGATGTTATCTGTACTGACATAAGAAAGAGAGTGAATGAGAGTGGACTTTGTTATAAGGATACTCCGGAATCATCATCGCAGCCCGGAAGATGTCCACTGCTGGACATAGGCCTCCCCCTAAGATCTCCACGACGATCGGTCTTGCGCTGCCGGAGTTGGATGGAATCCAACTCCGGAATCGCTGAACAAATTTGAGAAATTCTTTTACCGTTTGTATGGTACCTGCATTACCATACTACAGAGTAATATAGGGTTGCCTACCAACATTTATTTATTAAAGGATAATAGTTTATTTTATTTGACTACTACCCTACTGCCCTACCGGCTTCGCACGGCTGTACATGTATTAGACATATAAATTATGTTATATATATAAAATATATTTTAGTCATCATATTCTATTTTTTTTTAAGCTTTTTATTTTAGTTCTTAGTTGTACAATTAGGTTATGTAAATACTAGTTATATAATAATATGTATAGTAATATAATACTACAATTATGATATGTTATTATACAATCCGTTACATAGTTTTAAAGATATAAGCGATCAGACAGCGGAATCGACTTAATTTTATACTATTTAAAGATTTATTTGTAGTTTTTAGTAACAGGTAGGTTTCAGGGGTAAGATTTATACATATACATATACACACTCGTGCGAAGCCGGGGCGTGTTAGCTAGTAAATTATAATAAGATTCCAACGTCATACGTTACGGAAAAGCAACGTAACAGAATATGAATTCGAATCGAGGTCCAGCGTTTGTCGAACCGAAATATAACCTTCCAACCGGAAGCAAGTCAGGATATCCTTTACATTTATGGTGCACTATCTCCATAGCATCCAGACGGACTTATAATAACGCCATTACGAGTTTATTTAATATGGCAACAGCGGCCATTTTGTAAGACATGCGCGTGCGCCGTTTCCTGCGACGAAAAGAGCGCTACCTACCCATTGTTTTGCTGGAGGGGATGCGTGTGAGGTGAATACATATCGTGTTGATAGTTTAACTATCGATTTGAAAGAATGTGAATACCTTTTTTAAAGTATTTAATATGCCTAGCTATTTTGTAGAGTCGTCTGTATAATATTGAAATGAAATGGTATTTTTTTTTATTTATAACTCTTTATTGCACCTTAAAAACAATACAAAAAAACAATATTCCGTGTTTATCCTAGTGTATCGCTAAAGCGATTTCTTCCAGACAACCTTTGGGTAGAGGAGAAAAGACAGAAGGTGGTGGATGGCGCGTGGATGGCGTGGATGGTGAATGGTATCTTAGAAACAATCAAGTAATAACGGCAGTCGCATAAAAAAACTAAAGGATTTTAGTTTACATTTAATTTATTAATAAAATACATTTTAAGTTATTGACTAACCATAACTATATAATAACAAGTTATATACTATTCGTTTTTTCGGACTACTCTAATGCTGGCCTTTACAGCTTCACCGGATGATATGGGGCGAGTACCGATGACACTCCAAACCCGCGGAAGGACTTATGGAGCGGCTGAATGCCAACTCCCGCCTGACGGATACTATTTTAGTCAGGCACCGCTAGGGGTT